ACGAATCAGCGCATAGCAGCAAACTCATACACCGTTGTCATACACCGATAACAGACACCATTTCCACACGAGAAGAGCCCAGATCAAAACCACGCCCAACGAATACACATCACTACCAGACACCAGGAACACACATCAATAGCAGACGATGATATGATACACCAAACAAAAGTCATCACATCTTCATAGGAATACCGTGCGTCAGCCACATAAACGTGTATCCGACACCAATGGCACACATCACACGTAGATGCCACTAGCGTGCACCAATAACAGAGACGAAATGCATCCACCAACAACGCCCACCAGTATAGCTACATACACCGCGTGCATGGGTGGCCAACCTATCAGAACAACAAACATGACGAACACATCACGAACAAACACTAAGGACCGACTTCAAACGCTTACAACAAACACCGACATCGGGAACGCACATCAAATACATCCATCACATACATCATCTTCATACACCAACTACACAAATCAAGAAGACACACTAGCAACATGCCCGGCAAATGTTCAACACGAGCGTAAGCCAATATCACACGCCAGTGGCATACACCATACATCCCGACCATACATCAACACCATGAACATCCCGAGGCACTGGAACCCATGGGTGGAGATCGCTCCAAAGAGAATGCGAAATTCGTTCCTGTTTGCTCCGCCACATGTCCGTCGTCCTCTATCGCTCTGGACCTCCTTGTTGCGGATCGCTCGGCGCAGAATCCGTTGCTTGTGATTGTTTTGGCCCGCCACCTTTCCGTCCTCCCTATCTCCCTCTCTCTATCCCTCTCCCTCCCTCCCTCCCTCCCTCCCTCTCCTTCTTCCTCCTCCTCTCCCTCTCTTCCTCTCCCTCTCTCTCTCTTTCTCTCCCCTTCCTTCTACCTCCTCCTCCCTCCGCCTTTCCTCTCCCCCCCCTCCCTCTCTCTTTGGTGCTCTCCTCCCCCGTGGCCCGCGCCGGTCGCTGCGTCCCGAGGCCCCGGCGCAGAACAAGAACCAGGACGCGGCCGCCGCGTAGCAGCGCCTCCGGCCGGGCAGCGGGGTGCGTGCAGCGGGGGGGGGGAGGGAGGGAGGGGGGGAAGAGGGGGAGGAGGGGGGGAGAGGGGGGAGAGGAAGGAGGGAGGGGGGAGGAGAGGGAGGGAAGAGGGGGAGGGGGGGAGAGGGGGGAGGGAGGGGGGAGAGGGAGAGAGGGGAGGGAGGGGGGGGTGGGAGGGAGGGAGGGGGGAGAGGGGGGAGGGCCCGCCCGCTCCCTCGCCCTCCTCCGCCTCCCCTCTCCTCCCTGCCTGCTTTTTGTGGCTCCTCCGCCTTCCCACTCCTCCTCATCCTCCTTCTTCTCCTCCTCCTCCTTTTTCTCCTCCTCCTTTTTCTCCTCCTCCTCCTCCTCCTCCTCCTCCTCCTCCTCCTCCTCCTCCTCTTCCCTGGAGTAGGACGGGGAATCAGTGGGCACTGATCCGTGGTAGCGCAAAGCAAATCGGGAACGGATGAGGGAGAGAGAGAGAGAGAGAGAGAAAGAGAGAGAGAGAGAGATAGAGAAACAAAGCAACAAACAAAGCATAATGAGAGAGAGAGAGAGAAACTTATACAAACATACACACATGTTTGTGTATATGCCTACATGTGAGAGAGGTGTGTACTAGATCCACGTGCGTTCTGCGCGCTAACTAGCGCTAGCCCAATGTAGCTGCACAAGTAGGGATGGAGATGGGAACCGTCCCGCAATCGTCATCACATGGGAATGGGCATCCTGATGGAGGCGTCATGAAGCTGTGGATGCGGGGTAAGCGCGCCCCAAACTCCCGTTTGCACTGGGTAGCTGTACCGTGCATGTGCTTGGTTATCTGTTGTAGTGCATTGGCATGCTTCGACTGGCCAGGCAGGCATCTTGCCGAATGGTGTCGCGCCAAAGCCCCAAGCATCTCGATGGGGCATCGATATCTCACACAGGCACGCCCGCTGTTCCTTCTCCTCCTCCTCCTCCTCCTCCTCCTCCTCTCCTCCTCGCGCTCCTGTTCTCATCCCTCCTCCCTCCTCCCTGCTCCTCCTACTGCTCCTCCTCCTGCTCCTGCTCTTCCTCGTACTCCTTTTTCTCCTCCTCCTCCTTCTCCTCCTGCTGCTGCTCGTTCCTCCTCCTCCTCCTCCTCCTCCACTTGCTCCATCTCGTGCCAGTCCTCAACCTCGTCTTCCTCCTTCCCCTCCTCTTGACTCCGCTGGACTCTCTCAGGGCGCCTTGGAAGTCTCTTGATGGGTTCTTGGAGGCTCCTCGGAGCTGCCATGGGGCCGTCTTCGGGAGCCTGTAGGCTGTCTCGAGGCTTCTCCCGAACGGCTGGGCGGCATCATCCAAACGCCGTTTTTGATGACACCTCCTGGGTCCCCCGTGGGAGCCTCTGGACGCTCTCTTGGGAGCCTCGTGGGGCGCCCTGGCTCCTCTTGAGGCTCCTCTGGGCGCCTCCTGGGGAGTCTTCGGGGTGTCGTAGGGGCCTGCCTGGGGCGCCTTGACGAAACATCTTGGGGTTCTTGGGGCCCTTCCATGAGCCTCACAAGTGCATCGGAAGTAAACATGCGAACGCGAAGAAATCACAGATTCCCCCTCAAGATTTTCAATGATTTGGGCTTCTCGAGGGCTTTCTTGGGTATTGGGCGGTGTTGGGGGCTTCTCGGGGGCCTTTTGGCTCTCTCTATTGGGTGCTCTCGGTGTCCTCGAGGGCCGGCGGAGGGTTGTGTTGGGCCGCTTGAATCATTTTTGGGCCTGCCATGGGCCGCCCCGAAGCTCTCCTGAGGTCCCCTGGGGGGCCAGGGAAGACGATACCTGGGATTCGCCTAAGATATTCTGGAGGTGGGCGGGGCCCCGGGGGGGCATCTATATGTTTAGAGAGAAAGACAGCTGTATACATTTACACTCAGACATAGTCATACACACATGGAGAGGCACATGTATACACGCACTCACATGTATGCACACCACATATATCTACACATCGCCATATATACACATACACGCGAATACCTTTACACGCATATCTTCATTCATTCATACATACATATATGCATCTTCAGCGACCTACCTATATACCCACTTACGTACTCATACATTCATACCCACATACTTACATGTACTTACATACAAACATCCATCCATCCATGTAAACAGATACACATATACATGTACATGTACATACATACATACGCACACACATACATACATACAAGCAACCCTATCTACTTACCGACGTGGCTACCTACATACATACATGCACATACATACACGCACACATACACGTGTACATACATACATACATATATACATACACATCCACACCCACACCTACATCCATATTCACAATCACAGAAACATATAAACATACACAGACACAGACACAGACACAGACACATACATACATAATACTGTAGTGCTCTGGCACGGTAGTAGTACTGCCGTACTGCAGTTATGCAGATCCAGCAGTGTAGTAATAGTCCTCTAGTACTGTAGTCGCACTGCAGTGGTGCTGTCGTAATACCCTAGTACTGAAGTAGCAGTGCTCTAGTACAGGCGGCAGTAGCGATGCAAGAGCACTCTGGGACAGTTACTCTAATACTATAGTAGCACTCTAGCACTGAGCTGCTGTAGTCGTAGTAGTAGTAGTAGAAGTAGTAGTAGTAGTAGTAGTAGTAGTAGTAGTAGTAGTAGTAGTAGTAGTAGTAGTAGTAGTAGTAGCACTGCGGCACTGTACTAGTTGTGATATTGCAACACCAAAAAACAACACAACATAGAACTGGAACGCAAAGTATAGTCCCGCACTTTAGAACTAGTGGGGTGCGGTAATAACACAATACCGAGCACTGTAGTACTCGAGCACTGTAGTACTACTGCCGTGCTGCAGTTCTGCGGATGTGCCATTGTAGCACTAATCATCTAGTATTATAGCCGTACTCTAGTTGTGCAGTACTTTTACTCTAGTACTGTCGTCGTAGTAGTAGTGGTAGTAGTAGTAGTAGTAGTAGTAGTAGTAGTAGTAGTAGCAGTAGCAGTAGTAGTAGTAGTAGTAGTAGTAGTAGTAGTAGTAGTAGTAGTAGTAGTAGTAGTAGTAGTAATAGTAGTAGTAGCCGTAGTAGAAGTCGTAGTACTAGTAATCGTAACCGTAGTAGTAGTACTCTAGTACTGGCTGTAGCAGTGGTCCACCGGTACTCTAGTACTGTGATGCTCTAAAACTGTAAAAGCACGTTGGCGCTGTGTTGCTTTAGTGGCAGCACTCTACTGTTAATGTGGACCTGTAGTAGAAGTAGCACTGTAGTACAACTGTGGTAGTAGCATTTGTATCCGAATACTATAGTAGCAGTAATACTCTGGTATTGACTGTAGTATCACTACTGTAGTACTGTGGTAGCAGTGATCGTATACTACTGTGGTCATACTCTTGCCCTGTAGTTCTGTAGAGGTCGCATTCTGGTAGTACTACTCTAGTAACATGGTAGGACTGCAGAAGTACTGTAGTAGGAATACTCTACTGTCGTAGCAGCACTGTAGCTATAGTCGTGTCACTGTGGCTCCGTAATACTGTAATAGTAATACTGTAATAATAATCGTGCTGCATGTACCCTGGGTAACTAGCAGTACCGTGGTACTGTAAATTTAGTGCTCTAGCAAAACATGTAAAAATTGTGCTGTCGCACTCGAACATTATAATCGTATTCTAATACTGTAGTTATGTAGAGGTAGAGCAATGTAGCGGTACTCGTATATTACTTTACAAGTACTGCAGCGCTAGTGTAGTGAATTGTATTTCTCTAGTGTTGTAGTAGTAGTCGTACTGGTACTCTTGTTCTGCCTGACGTAATTACAATGTAATGCTGTTGTGCTGCAGGAGTATTACTGTAGTAGTATTGCTGCACTTACTCTATAAAACTAGGAATACTGTAGAAGTAATGGTGTAGTAGCATTCTTACGGTAGTAGTAAATCGTACTGTAGATCTAGTGGTGTGGTATTCAAGTACTGCGCTCGCAATCAAGCATTGCACTGCTGTGGTAGTGCAGGTACTAACAATGTAGTAATGTAGTAGTCGTAATGTAACAGAACCGTGGTAGTAGTATCACTCCTGTACTTCAGTAGCAGTAGTACTCCAGCACTGGCTGTAGTAGCCGTGCTGTAGTACTGTGGTAGGACGAGTACCCTAATACTTCAAAGTTCTTGTTCTGTAGTTTGGGCTCCTAATTTCGTACATCCGTAGAGGAATCGCGGTGACGCTACACATTCAATACTTTGGGGGTACTGCTGTGCTACTGCAGGAATAGCAGTACTTTAGTACTCTAGTACTGGCTGTAATAATAGTGGTGCGTTGGTCCTTTAGTACTGTCGTACTCCGCTGCTGTAGTAGCACTCTGGCACTGTAGCGCTGTTGTGATAAAGGAGATGCTGCATTATTACTCTAACACTCTCTTATTTTCTCGCATTTGTACTGTGCAATACTGTCGTGGTACACTCTATTACCACAACACTATTTCCACTACAGAAATAGACAACGATTTTGCAGTACATACGTAATGCTACTGGGGCGTTGCTGTACTAATATCACTCTTCGTACTACAGTACCCTAGTGCTGAATGGGATACTAGTACTGCCGTGCTGCAGCGGAAGCATACATTAGTAGTGTAGTATTGTAGTACAGCAGCAATCTTCTACTACTATTACGTGGCGCCAAAGACTGTTCAGCCCTCTCGATTCGCTACTTCTTCTGTGCTTTGCCTTGTGATTCCAAGGTTGCCCGGGGATTGCCCAACAATCTCAATATGTCTTGGCGCAAGACTCACTGCAATATTATTATGGTGCCGGTTTGGGGCTTGAAATTACAAGGGAACTCTGAAATTGCCGACGACGAATAATAACTTAAACTTATTATTCTTGGCGTGCGCGGCCCTGCGGCTTAAGCTTTAAGCATAGGGGGTGAATTTGAATTAGGGGTGGCGCGCAACCTCAAACATTCTTGGCTGGGCAGGCGGGCGGCAAGGAAGGTGTCCCAGAATTTGCCGAT